CGTTACTTACCAGTTCAAAAACCCAGTAAAACGTTACTTACCAGTTCCATCGTCCCTTTTTAATCTTTCAACTTATATATATCGCAGGGAAATGATGAAATTAGGAATTGGATCCAATCCCTAAGGGATATGATCAATTCACGGAAGATATTAAAATGATGTCTCTTGAAGATCATTTCTCTATAAAGAAAGTAAGTGATTTGATCAAATCCCTGAACTGTTTTAGTGAAAAGATTAAATGAACAAGATAGGACTGGCACAGCTGTTTTTTGCTTGTTACCCTCCCCTTCACCTTGCCTGTGGCGTCTGTGCACACAGCACCCACTCATAACGCGAGGGAGGTTGAGAACATTTTTATTAATGTTTTCTGTATATCGAATTTTTTTTAAGCACCTGCTTAGTTAAAAATGAGTTCAGATATAGAAAAAAGTTCAATTCCGACCGATTTCGAATCGGAATAACAGTTGAATGAAACTATTAAGACATTTTTTAACTAGTTTCATACAAATAAAATCCGTTGTAGACTTGCAAAAATATAGAAGCTGTAACAATCATTGAACACAATTTAAATTAGCAACACTATTAAACTGAAGCGAACACATAAACAATAGTATTATGGAAAAATACAATGTTATGGAAGTAAAACTACGGAGAAAGTTCGTCGGTGCTTTTCTTTATAACTGGGTTTCGTATTCGGATTTTCTATTCATAATTGAAGATTCTTTAGTAACTATATCCATAACAGTGCTGTTTGTATGTTTCTTTCAGTTTAAATAGTGGTGCTAATTTAAATTGCTCAATGATTGTTACAGCTTCTTTTGCGAGTCCACAAGGGGTTCCTCTTTTATCAAACTAGTTAAAGAATATTCTGATAGTTTCATTAAACTGTTTTTCAGGTACAAAATCTGTAAGATTTTGATTACTTTCTGTATCTGAACTCATTTTTAATGTTGTTGTTGTCGTCGTGTGTTTTTATCCTGGGATACATATGAAATACGAGTGGAAGAACAGAAACATACAATACAAGCAGAAGAATATAGACATTTTTATTACAAATGATGGTCCCAGCATATAACAGAAGGGGTGCGCTGCCTTACATTCGAGATCGGAATCCATTACAGGTGAATGTTCGACTTCTTTTCCCGAAGAAGATACTACCATTCCTTACTCGGGATTCGAACCTACTCAGTTACCAGTCGAGGGTCCTATCCACCTTACTGGCTGGGCGCCACTTACTTTTCATTCGATCGATAGTAAAAAAAAAAAAAACTCGATATATGAATAAAAATGCACGCAACCTTCCGAGCGTTATGCGTCGGCGCTGCGTTCACCGACGCCAGAGGAGAGGGTAACCTGCGCAAATCCTTTCTCTTGTTCATTTACTCTTTTCACTAAAACAGTCCCATTTACTTTCTTTAAGAAATGACCTTCAAAAGACGTTATCCCTTAGGGATTTGCCCCAATTCCTAATTTCATCATTTCCCTGGGATCGCCCTTGTCTAAAAACGATGTTAATAAGCAATCAATAACCATTAGTAAAAATGTGCTTTAGTTTGGTGTCGTGACACAAATTTCATAATTGTAGATACAGTCTGGGGTTGTATGTATCCAGAGGACAATATGACACAATAGGAAGGCGAGTTTTCCATTGAACGCAGGAATAGGTGTTTGATAGAATCGAGATTGTGTCTCTACACCTTACATAAATCACTGCAGTACCTAAAATATGAATACTTTAAGAGCTATATCTTACAGCAGGGGTGACAAACACTCGGCCCATGAGCCGCATGTGGCCCACCAGTGCGTAAGTTGCTGCGCACCACACAATTATTTTTAAATCTTTTAAATATCAGGCTTTTAAAGTATTTTTCATTTTGAAATTTATTTGAGGTGAACCTTGTATATAAACTGTGAAGACTGCGCTTTGTACGACCCCCGCCCTTCTATTCATGACAAGTTTTATATATTAGAGCAGGTGGCTCGGAGACAGTGCATGTGGCTTTGAGGTCATTGTCTTTTACTTGATCTCGGGTCAACTACGACACTATGGCTGGAAGACGAAATAGACATAAAAGTTCCCCCACCGGGTGACAATTGACGAGACCTGTCTGACGCCTAGGAGGATGAAGGAGGAGAAAGGCTTCAAGAAAACAATAGCAGCGTGATGGGCCAGAGAGTGCTATTGTTAGGTCCGCGCGAATAGGACGCTAATGAGTCCGGGGGGCATGTAGTGGACCCGCCCCTGGGGTTTAAAAGGGTCATTTTTTGGTGAGATGAGAGATCGGAGCGGAGATCGAGATCGGATTCAAGTCCAAGGTTGATTTTCCTGGAGGGAGAGGAGAGAGAAGAGGTTAAACGCCGGCTAGTGATATGTAGAAAACGGAAGCAATTGAACTTCAACGTTAAAGAGAGACTGAACGCACCGGCTTGGTGGAAAGAGACATTTCCATATTGCGATAACATTAACTATTTTGTTGAGAAAATAAATTTTTTCTTTTATTTCTACAATTTTCTGTGAATTTATCAACACGCAACCAGTCCACGATGTTACAAAATCTACAAAATATATCATTGCTACCAATTCTTGTTTTAAAAGAAATCATTCTTGATAATAGAAATGACCTTCAGATCAAAAATATTTTTGAAGTTATACTTCTTTTGAGGCGTTAGAGAAATAGTATGAGAAGAATTTTTACGATGCGCGCGCACACCGTCACGGACGTGACGCAAAACCGTCACAGATGTGACGCACACTGTCACGGATGCGAAAATGCTTAGTCTAGAAATATACAGAACGGGAGAGATCTTTACCGCCTTCGAAATTCTCAGGAAAATATTTCTCTTCACTTCCCAGAAGAAGGGAACACCAGGGTCTGAACCGGAGACCACTCAATCTGCAGCCGAATACTTTACCACTGAACTATACACCCGCATAAGCGAAGCTTTGCTTTGCGTTCCATAGGAATGGATACGAAAATGCTTTGTCTAGAAATATACAGAACGGGACAGATCATTGCCGAGTTCGAAATTCTCAAAAAAATATTTCTCTTCACTTCCCTGAAGAAGAGGACACCCGGGTTTGAACAGAGGACCTCTCGATCTGCAGTCGAATGCTCTATCACTGAGCTATACCCCCGCAGCAGCTAACCTTTGCTTTGCGTTCCGTAGGAACGGATACGAAAATGCTTTGATTGGAAATATTTAGAATGGGACAAATCATTCCCGCCTTCAAATTTCTCAAAAAATATTTCTCTTCACTTCCCTGAAGAAGGGGGCTCTCGGGTTTGAGCCGAGGACCTCTCGATCTGCAATTGCATGCTCTACCACTGAGCGTTGCCCCCGTGTCAGCGGACCTTTGCTTTCCGTAGGAACGAATACGAAAATGCTTTGATTAGAAATATTTAGAACGGGACAGATCATTCCCGCCTTCAAAATTCTCAAAAAAAAAAAAAAAATTCTCTTCCCTGAAGAAGAGGACACCCGGGTTCTCCCTCCTGTCTTTGAACCTTTGCTTTGTGCTGATGTCTGACGTTACTACTCGTAGAGATCGTCCGTCGCCTACGGAGCTTCTCTGATGCATTTGTTTGAACAATTTTTGTTATTAAATCAAACATAATTACAGGAAATTAAAAAAAGATTAGTAAATTAATCTTTAAATTGTGTTTTATGTACATAAAACATAAGAGTTAATATTAGTTTTCCTATTTAAATAACAATTTCAAGTATATGATTATAGATGTATTTACTACGAACGCATTGCGATGAACATAAACACATTTATTGCATTGTAGCAAATTATAAGAGCCTTTTGTGTATTCATATATTTATTTTTGAAGTTATTCTTCTCTTTGGGAATTAGGGAAAAAGGATGAGGGTAAATTTTTACAATGCGCGCGTGCATACCGTTGGATCTCTGTGGTCCAATGCCAACTGAAAGCCAAGGCGATAGTAAATATTTCTTGAGTATAATTGACGATTATTCAAGAAAGGTGACGGTATTTCCTATCAAAAAAAATCTGACGTATTTCATACGTTTATAAGATTTCAGAAACGAGCAGAAAGTTTTCTAAGTAGAAGGGTAATAGCAGTTAAAACTGATGGCGGACTAGAATTCTGTAATAAAGATATGGATATTTTCTTGACAGAACTGGGTATAAAGCATGAGGTAACAAATTCATATAAGCCGGAAATGAATGGGGTCGCGGAGAGATTCAATTTAACCGCTCTAGATGGCATCAAAACATTGCTTAAGTCTGGTGAAGTTCCACTTAAGTTTTGGGAATAAGCATTACTTTGTTTCACTTATGCGTGGAATCGAATTTGTCACAAAGACAGTAACAAAACTCCTTTCGAAAAATATTCAGGTAGAAAACCATCTGCATTGCATCTAAAACCTTTCGGATGTTTGGCATATGCTGGTGTGCCAAAACAAATTAGAAAGAAATTAGATATGCGTGCAAAAATGGGAATTATGATGGGCTATGCACAACGTACTAAGGGTTATAGAATATGGTTAATTAAACCTTCCTGATTATGATGATGATGAGGAGGAGGATGATTTTGATAGAGTAAAAGATTCATTAGCGAGTCGTTTAGTTTCAAAGACAAGTACAGAAACGCCCTCAACATCTGAAAAGCCAGATGTATCTTCCGATAATCATAGCTTAATCCCATGTACAGAGGTTAAGTGGATTCGAAATATAGGTAGGAAAGTAACTGGATCTAACGTATATTACTGTACAGAAGGGGAAGCAACCCGATTGAAATCTTTTAACGAAATAGAGCGATACTGTAAGAGGCATAACATTGAGTATGATCCTAGTTTTTGTTTAATTTTAGAAAAGATAATACCGAATCCCAGGAATTTTCAGATTTGACAGAGCAACAAGCTCTTATGGTTGAAGTAATTATTCCTAACTGTTACAAACAGACGATAAGATCCAGAGAAGCATCTAAATGGCATGATGCAATGGATAAAGAAATTAACGTAATGATGGAACGTTAATTGTGGGATTTAGTTAATCCTCCGGATAATGTAAAAATTTGAACCGATAACCGATTCGAACCCGACCTTTTTGCAAGTTTTGTTATTTGTGGTTGGCTGCAACTGCAATGCAAATCACGAAACTATTTAAACTCGGCTCGCGTTAGTTCTTTTCTTAGAGGGAGAAAGAAAGGACATATTCAAGTGTGTTTTAGCTCTTAAATAGAGAGCGGCTGGTTGACTATGCAACTGTATGTTGCATCACCATTTTAAGATAATCGTTTTTAATATTAGAGTCTAATATTAAAAACGATTATAATAATTAGACTGTAAGAGAAGACGGTTCGAATCGGATGTCTGGTAATGTTGATTTTTTAACTAAGATTTTATTAATCAACTTATTGTTATTTTTTTTTGATCACTCCAGTGATGAGCACATTGACTTTATCCTTAATTATAATAAAAGTCATTTTTAAGAAACTGCTTTCATCTTATGCCTCCTCGACACAAAAATTTTCACTGCTTGCTTTGCGAAAGCTTAGGTTAGCTTACCAGGAAGTGTAACACATAAAGTGTTAAAATGTGTCTTGAAATTGCTGGATGAAATTATAATTATCTTGGAAACACAAAAATATTATGAATGTGCTGAATTAAAAGATGGACAATGGATGTAGAACCTGGCTTTCTCATTTGATATTACAAGCCATCTTAATCAACTTAATTTTAAGCTTCCTGGCAAAACTCATGTTACAACTCTATTTGATAATGTTAAAAATTATTACTTTGGCAAAAATAAATAAAAAAGGAAACTTGTCTCACTTTGAAAGCTGTCAATATATGTTTAAATCCCATAAATTAAAATTTACCAAACACGTGCATAACATTAAACTGTTTGAAATGGAATCATTAATTCTAATTTTAAAACCTGTGAGCTATAATTTCACACTTTTACTTCACCTCTATCTATCGACATTGAAATTGTTGATGAAAACTTACAAATGAAATCCAATGGGATTCTTTGTTGAAGCAAAAATCTATGGAAAATGAAATTCTAGATTTATATGTATATATTTATATCACAGTAGATAGATTTCCTAAAATGTATCATTTGTTATACAAATAATGGCTATGTTCGGAAGCACTCATTGCAATTATTTTCTGTCATGAAAAATAGCGAAAGTTCAGAAATATTAAGATTAACTCACCCCAATCGCCATTTAAAAATTACATCAGCTTAGTATTTTTGATCAAATCTTGATGACTTGCTTTGGGAAAAAATATCTTCTAAAAACTAATGTTCAATTGAAATTCTTAATTTTTTTATTAAAAATATAAAATATTAAGTTTAAAAAATAACGTGGAAATATACGATGACTCCGCATGTATAATAACTAAACACAATGAGTTTTACATTGCGTCAAATGAATGCATAATACATTATAAGAATCGTATGTTATTGTTTTTTTGTTGGTTGTAAACATGCGGCCCCCAACTTCTAATGAAATATACCATGCAGCCCGTAATATGATACGAGTTTGACACCCCTGTCTTATAGCATGTTGACGAGCTCTCTATTGGCTATCTGTACCATTCGGCAGAAGCTGAACTGACGAGGGTACAATAGATTCCGACAATCACTTTGAACTATAACTGTTTTTCATTTAGTGTATTTTAAAAAATAGACTGGTCCATCACTACTTTCATACACACACAACTCATGTTCCATTGACAAACACAGTGCAAAATTGATAATTTGTATTCAATAAGTATAATTTTTCCATTCTAAAACGGCTTCTTCAAAATATTTCAAAGATGCTTCGAAAGTAGAATGTTCCTTTATTCTTGAGCAACTTTTGACATTCATTGAATCGTTTCTAAAATATATCTATGTAACTCCATGCTCCATTGTTTATAACTCAATAAATAATTTTAATAATGTATTGCAATAACTTTATTATTTTATTTTAATTTTGTTAAGCTTTTAAATAGCATACGAGTTACACCGAGTCTTACTTGAACGAATTTTTAATAAATTATGTCCAACAAAATGTTTGGTAAAAAGTTTATTTTTTACCAATTTAAGGCCATGTCTTGGATATGCCATAAAATTCCATTAATGAACAGAGAGAATCGAAATCTTCATTTTCCCCATGACATTTAGGGCAAGGGAATGAGACAAGATAATATATATTGAAAAATAATCCCGGACTCTGTCCCCGATAAATGGAAGGGGATGAAAATCATGACTGGGCAAAAGCATTTGAACCAGTTTCTAAATGAATATCAATGTGGGATGTATCCCCCCTCGTAAAATATTTTTACCCTTTCCACGCCAACGAAATCCTTGGGACAGCACCGAGCAGGAAATATGATTTATGGTAGCAGCTATTGAGGAAGGGAGGAATCGATTACAATACTGTTGAATCGGGTCGAGTCTTTTTCTTCCCGTGTAGAAACGGTGGATAAATAATTGCCTTTCCATTGATCCTCCGTTGCTTTTCTCCTCAAAGGAGGATCGGAAACGATTCAACAGAAAGTCCTCAAGGAATCAAGGCATGCATTAAGCAATGCATTGTTTCAAGTACAAATGCAGTACTTAATAAATGTCATTTTTATTTTTCATTTCAATTGGATTCATTTGAAAGGAGAGTCTCAAAAGAAGGTTTGGAATCAAACATGTTCCAAAACATTAGATTTCTACGAATGTTGATTTTATGTTGCAAATTTTTAATGAATCATTTCAAATTTTTATTTAGAGTACCCCAAATTCTAATTCTTTCTGTTATTTACATAATGTCTTATATCAAATATATTTTTTCTATTAGATGTTAAATGAGAGATAAAGCCTTTGAACCACAAATGTGGCCCTTACCACGTAATGTCAATTACTACAGAAATACCCTAGATTTAAAAAAAATAAATAAATTTGCACTTTATTATAACTCCGTTACTTATCATCAAAAGAGCCAGGAGCTTCTCATTATTATACATACTCAAACAATGTCCTTAAGAGGTCGACAACTTAAAATTTGTGTGTGGGGCATTTTTTAAAAATATTGTTTAAAAATCCTGAGAGCAAATAAATGCTATGTTTTCGCGGAATTCCCTTCGGTGTTTTCGACATCAGAATATGTTTCAATGCAGATTTCAAAATTCCGTAGAGAGAGAGAGAAAAACAGTAACTTTTCACAAATATATTGTTTTGGCTTCAAATCAAACAAATTCAATTCAATTAGAGACTTGTCATTTATTTTAGAAGAAAAGTTTGAATAGGCTGTACAATGTTATACATGTAACTATTTATAAATTTTATTTATGTTACAAGAGTAAATTGATGAAATTTTTTAAGCTATGTTT